TCTGTGACAATCAAGTTAATATTAAAGAAACAGTTATTTTTTTCTGAAACATAAAACCATCATCAAGATTAGCCAAGAGTTTACCAAACCATCATCTTTGAAAGATAGTTGCCTAAATAGTAGACATATCTTTATCTTTCTTATGCTAGTTAAGAATCTGAAATTTTAACCGAACCTCATAGTATATGGAAAATTATTATACCTTATATAACTCAGTTATTGCATTCAACCTGTGAGGTAGCTTTTATAACTATTACATAGACAAAAAAATAAAAAAAAAAAAAGAAAAAGAAAAAAAACTGTGGCTAAGAGAGATTCAGAGATGTATTCATGGTGGTGCCATTGCTAACATTTTTAGCTGTGACTGTAACTCAGGATATTAACTGGAAAGTTGTCTCTCTGCCATATTGCAGAAGACCACCAATCATATCTTCTATCTGGCCAAGTGGTTTCTGTAGAATGCTTATTTCTATCAAGACTACCCCACCTATAATACTAATAATCTGACAGGTTATTTCTACCAGAAATACTACCTATGTTCTCTTATATCCTCATCTAAAAAGTCTTCAACATTTATTTTAAAAAAAATCTGTTTTTGAACACCTACCATGTGTCATATAGTGTGAAATTCCAGAATTTTCACAATGTTTTATGTCTTCTTTAATGAACAAATCTACTCTTGTGAGCCTCCATTTATCCTTTTCAACCTGTTCATGAGCCCCTTTTGTGCACAAGGCATGCTGTGAAGGGATCTGGAGTAGGTACATAGATAAAGGCTGTCCAGTTCCTGTCTGGAGACAGCTCACAACCTTTTGGGGAGAAGACCTAGAAGTCATTCAAGTGCAAGGTAAACTAAAAGTAGTGCCTTCTTTAAGAGGTACAAGGCCATGAAAGGAAAAACATCAAAAGGAGTCCCGGATGGGTCTTGAACGTGTAGGATCTTGGCGTCTTCAGATGGTGCAGGACACGAACCAGAGACAGGAGAGGGCAGAAGCAAAAGGATGGGGGAGGAAGCAGCATGAGTGCCAGTGGGGTATGGCGCTGCCCTTCCCCCCAACCCCCAGCGGAAGCACAAGGTGCATGGAGGCTAGAACTAGGGAGAAACTGGAAAGGTGGTTGGGGTCACGCGGTGGAAGCCCCGAATGTCCAGCTAAGACATGTGCACCTTATTCACTTTGGAATGGAGCCACTATTAGTCTCTGAGGTTAAGTGTAACTTGATCCAAACTGTGTTTTGTGAAGGGTAGTGAAGTGGCCTTGTGTAAGGTGACTTGGAGAGGGTGACACTAGAAGCAGAGCTCAGTGGCAAACTTACTCTTTACAGTTTTCATTAACAATACTTTAGTGTGTTAAGGGCTCGTCGGGAACCCAGACAACCAAATCCTGCTCCTTGATACTCTTGTGCAGTTACCTTCCTTCCTCTCCCAAATCATGGACTTTTATGGAGAGAAGGATGTATTTTAGTTCCTACTCAGGTGGAGATAAAATACATTTAGACTCCATCTGACTGTTTCACTGTTTCCTATGCAACTGAACAGGAGAGAGCAGCTGACCCATGGTCAATGATGTTTGCAGCTTACCATCCAGGAAACTTCTCCCCAAGCCATAAATTAAGTCAGGCCAGGATGGCTACCACTGACTACCTCAGTGGGAGTCACATCACATGCCACATTTTTTCCTTGGATCTGATGGACCCAATGACTTTCTTTGTTTGGAGATAGAGTCTTGCTCTGTCACCCAGAGTGCAGTGGTGTCATCAAAGCTTACTGCAACCTCAAACTCCTGGGCGCAGGCAGTTCTGCTCAGCAACCTGAGTAGCTGGGCATGGTGTCATAGGACTACAGGTGTATGACACCATGCCCAGCTATTTTTTTTTTTTTTATTTTTTGTAAAGATGATCTCTCACTGTGTAGCTCAGACTGGTCTCGAATTCTTGGCCTCTAGAAATTCTCCTGCTTTGGCCTCCCAGAGCACTAGGACTTTAGGCATAAACCACCATGTTTGACCCAATAACTTCTCTTTATTGGTTAGGTCAAAATGGGCTTCTGCTCCTTCCTAGAAGTTTCACATTTCACCATTGATGGTAAATCTTTGTACTTTTCCTATTGTTCAGTGAAACAACTCTGCATTACATTCTTCAACTATCTAAGCTCTAACAATAGTATAAATTCCACTTTGTTTTATGAAAATTTTCAGTTCTGGATTCTTCTATGACTCTCCCCCCTTAATATTCTCTTCTCTTTCTCCCTCTCTCTCTTTATTATTCAGGGAAGGGGAATCTTACTCTGTCACCAAGCCTGGAGTATAGTGGCATAATTGATCATAGCTCACTGTAGCCTCAAACTCCTGGGCTCAAGTGATCCTCCTGCCTCAGCCTTCCATGTATGGGGAATATAAAGCACATATATGCCACCGTACCCAGCTAATTTTCTTGTTTTTTTTTTTTTTTTAAAGATGGAGTCTTGCTATGTAGCCCAGGCTGGCCTCAAACTCCTGGCCTCAACTGAACCTCCTGCCTCAGCCTCCCTAGTTGTTAGGATTGCAGGTGTGAGCCACCATGCCCAGAAATTCCTCCCTTTCCCCAGTATTTTACCTTATAGGATGAAGGGCAGGGAGGTGTTATTTTTCAGCCCTTCATCTCAACTCTTTCATCTTCTCCCCTAAAAATTTTGATCAGCTGGTATTCACAGCTGACTCACATTACTGATGATTCTTCAGAGGAAATATACTAACAACCCCCTTACCTTTCACCTACCTGCCCACATATCTAGTGTTATTCTGCCCATATAGAGCAAACCAGAATAATCAGTTCAGGGGAAGCTGCTTCCTTGTGTTTCCCAGCAACACAGACTCCCCACAATGGGGTCACACATACTGGCCCATTTAGAAATAGAGCGTGAGATGCAGTGAGGGGGAAAAGCTAGGAGCAGAGATTTTCACTCTATATAGGACCTGTAGCCATTAAGCTGGATGAGTAAAAAGAAAGACCTTTCTAATGCCCCTAAAATAGACAGTTTAGTGAGAAGCTGCTCCTCTACAGACGAATGGTGATTTTTACAGATCATAAACAGAGGAGCTGGGCTGTTGGAAGGTAAGCAGTTCCTTCAATAGATGTTAGGTAAAATGGGGCTGTTTGATTCAAGGCAGAGACAGGGGCAAAATCACCTCTCGTCAGGGCTGAAGATGGGATGCAGGGGGGCAGGAATGGTTGAACCATCTTCTGTCCATGTCCCTAGACTTGCTGCATAATCTGAAACCTCCCCACAGCTCCTGAGAGGCCAAGAGGCACAGACAGAGAAAGCCGACTAGGGAGCAGGGTGGGAGGAGGGAAGGAGGGTGTTGGAATTTGACATAAAAGAAAGGGTTAAAGTTCCATTCTTTTTCTTTTTAACTCTATAGTCCTATGAAAGCTCAGAAATAGGCATTTCTTTCAGCCCATAATAACTATAGATTTAAGTGTTCAATCACAAGTAGAATTTAAGAGAGAGTGAAGCATTAGGAAGTGTCTACTTTGAAAAGCAAACTGAAATAAATATAAAATCCAGCCAGAAGGACCAGTCCTATTTTATTAAATGCATGAGGCAGCACAAACACGCATCTGTCACATTCCTCAGTAAACAGGAACAGGTTTTTGTCCCCACAGCATGGGTGGAGGGGAAAGCAATGAAAAATAGTGACCATTTTCTTTGGGAGTCATTACTTAGTGCTAGTAACTCACTGTGACAGCAAAACAGATGACGACCAAGGGATCAAACAGGTCTGGGTAAACTGGCACAAAACAGGTAGAAAAGAGAGCTGTTCATTCTGTTCTACTGGTTTCAGTATATTCTCTTAGGTGTTCAAGGCCAGGAAGGTGCTTGCTGAGCTAGATGTGAGGTCTGCTAAGCCACAGGCTTCCAAGAGAACATAAGAATGGTGGTGGTGGGGGCTGTTTTGGGCTAATGTTTGTATCCTCCCCACTCAAAGTTCTAATCTCCAAAGCGATGGTATTTGGAGCTGGGCCTTTGGGACATAATTCGGTTTAGATTAGGTCTTGAGGGTGGGGCTTCTGGTAATAGTGTCTTTATAAGAAGAGGCACAAGTGAGTTCTCTCACTCTCTCTACCATGTGAGGACAGAATGAGAAGATGGTCATCTGTAGCCAGGGAGCAGACCCTTACTGGGAACTATGTTGGTGCCATGGTCCAGACATGGTTGGTCTGTCCCCAAACCTCATGTTGAAATATGGCTCCTGTGTGGTGGTGTTGGGAGGTGGGGCCTAGATGGAGGGCCGTGCAGGTAGATCTCTTATGGCCACCTGGTGATATTCTCTCAGTAGTGAGTTCTTACTCTCAGGGGACTGGACTAACTCTCAAGGGAATAGATTAGTGCCTGAGAGAGGGGTTGTTAGAAAGCCAGGGTGACCCACAGGTCTTCCCTGCTTCTCATGTGTCCACTTGCCCTCTGTCATGTTTTGGTTCCGCACAAACGTCCTCACCAGAAGCCAGGGCCATGTCCTTGAAATTCTCTGCCTCTGCCTGCAGAACTTAGCTAAACAACCCTTTTTATTTATAAATTATCCAGTCTCAGGTATTCTGTGAAAGCAGCACAAAATGGACTAAGACAACTGGCACCTTGATTTGCGACTTACCAGCCTCCAGAACTGTGAGAAATAAATGTCTATTTTGTTATAACAGCCTGAGCTAAGACAATGGCCTAATTGTCCTGGGCCATGTCTCTTCCAGAACTGGATTCAGAATAATGTGAGAATGGGACTGTGTCAAAAGGCATCTTGGCCACAAGCAATTCTTTATTTATTCTCCCAATATTGCCTCTTCCCTCCCCCTCTCCACCTCCCTATGTAGGTAATTATGAAGTAGAAAGAATTTGGTACTAAAAACTGAAATGAACACTGAGTGAGAATGAGATTATACAAGGGAACCATTTTAAGGAATGTAGACCCCCACATTCTGGAATAGAAGAAGAGGACTTTTAAGAAAATGACTTCCACAGACTTTCTTACCTTTGTTTAAGCGTCCCATTACAGTGAATTCAAAATATTTGCTGTTGTCAGTTGAAGAGTAAAGGCCGAAGATAGTAGCTGAGCTTTTGGTCTGCAGCTTGAAGGTAGAGATCACATAGAGATCACTCAGGGTGGGGTCTGTTAGGAATGGCTGCAGAACCCCTGGGTTCAGCCTCTGACCGGAGGATGGGAGAAGGTCAAACACTGGGGAGAAGTGGGAAAGCGAGGAAGTCAGTGAAACATCCAACTTTGGGAAAAACGTGTTTTTTTGGGGGGGGGAGATTTGATGATAAGCTATAAAGTAATGTAGCTAATCTTGTAATCCTTTTTCTCACATTGCCAAACTCCCCAGTTCTTCCCTGTCACTTTAATAGTGGCTGGACATTTGAACTAGAAGAAATATAGCACCGTATTCATCACTGGGTATAGCCCTCAAGAGAAGACTCGATTTGCAAACACAAAATTGGATTTGGCTGAACAAGTGGCTCTGAAAATGCCCCCTAGGAAAAGCCCTAACGGCGTAAAGTACAAGGGAGACTGGTGAGGCATCTAAGCCATTGTTTTTCTCATGTCCCCAAGCAGTAAATTTCTGTCATTGGGTCCCTTATGAACCTCCAGGATCAGAGCCAATTGTATTTTCCTGGTCAGTGACAAATGACAGGGAACACAGCAGAAATCACAGATGTGGTAGGGGTGCCACCAGCAAAATGATTTGTGAAACTGGAGTGTTCCCTCTGTGCCTTTACAATTCTCCAATATTTCTCTGTTAAAAAAAAATCCCAATGTGGAAACAAAACAAAACAAAATAATGTAGTTTCTATTTCTTTTTTTCTTTTTTTTTTTTTTTTTTGAGAC